TTATTTCTCACAATTATTGATCTGCGGCTCTGCAAGTACCACAAGAACGCCAAATTTGATCTCTGACCACGTGCACAGACTTGACGTAATTACAGTCAAGGAATGCGTATCTATTATAAAGAGCATCAAGCCCAAAGATGATACATAAGGCAGTAACCTTTGACAGAAATGCAATGATTAAGTAGTAGTCATCAACGCATTGCATTCTTAGCCATAACCGTGTGTAAAATTTCATCGTTTTTTCAGTGCACTGCCTGCGCGATTACAATTTCACTTTAATCGCAGTGCAATTTAAATTTTCTTCATTTTAATCAAATTATTTGAACCTTTTAATTTTTGCACATTTACAATAGATTAAATAATTCAAATTTAAAAATTTTAACACTTTTTAAAAGAAGAAGACCAATTTCCATATATTTAATGCAGATCAACTTTAATATTGACTGAATATTTGCAGTTATTTTCAAATTAAATTCACTTTATAATTCCTACTTTTCTCAAGTGTACTATTCTTAAAAAATAAATATAATTTCCGGAAATATTTTTTATTCCACTGATAATTATTCGGTTATCAGATCATTTTAAGTTCGACGTTACATTTACAATAACTGCATAAACATGCTAAAATTGAGTATATTCTTCAACTGATAGCAAGCCATTTTGGTGATTTTTGGTTAAAAATAATTATAATTATTGTGCATAATATGCTGAAAAGTAATCATTAAATGAGAATAATTTTGTAATTACTATCATTCGTTTTTTTAATCAATTGTAACATATTCGTTACTATCATTATTTGCTGCACAAGTGTTGAAAATGAAAGGAAAATAAAGGCAGAACAGAGAAAATGAGTGATAAAATCTGTAATTTCTGTTGAATTAAAAGCGATATTCAATTTTTATTGTGGCATATTTTAGTTCCATTTAAACATTCATGTTATTATATACCTATCTAAATATTTCAAATATTTAGACAAGCATAATTAAAAATAATGACAGTCTGATATTTCATATAAATGAATTCTAGTACTAGTCATATAGATTTTACTTCATTTATAATTTTATTATCAATTCTAAAACTTTGACTAACTTTGCAAAATAAAAATCTATTCTGAAGTTTTGAAAATGTCTAATCTGCTACTCGAGCAAGCAAATGTGTTTAATTTTTACAACCAGATTAATATTAATTATTATCTTTTATTGTTAAATTTTTTTGATTTTATTTTGTTTAACACAAACCACACGTATGAGGACACTGAATTAAAATAAGTGGCATGTAAATTGGTACATTGCAAAGGTACTTTACTTCTTTACAGTTCGATTTTCCATCAGGTCCTTCCTTATCTTGGCAAGCAGCTGAAATTTTTCTACCTCAAATTTACATACACATTATTAAATAGTATCATATTAGTAACTATTCAGATAAATTTACTTCTGATTTTATTATTTTTTTTAAATTTTTGAATAATTTTTTAGCAATTTAAATTTCAAAACTTTCTAAGACTTACAAAATATATTTAATGAACATATTTTTTATGAAAACATTTAATATAATATATAATTTAGTTTCAACTAATATATTATTACACATTTTGCTCACATTTAAAACAATAATTAAAAATAAAAAACTTACGTGATTTTGTAGTCGTTATTTGGTCACAGTAACCACAAGTTTTAGGACACTGTTCCTTCATCAGTTTCATATAGATCGGATTATAACATAGTTCTGGATATAATGTACAATCAGATGCCTTACCAGGTGGCGCTTTGTCTTGACAAATCTCAGGTGTAACAGTTGTCAGAGTTGCTGGAGCAATCAAATTAATCAGAAACATAGAAAATTATATTTCTTCCACATTTAATTGACTTGAAAACTCTCTCAAAAAATGCAAAATTTCACGTCAAAACTGCTTTTTTATTAATTATTAAATCAATGCGCTAATCGAAATTAATTTTTATTATTATATAAATTCAGAGGAGAACACTTTTATCAAAAAACGCTTAGTTTTTGTCATTTTATTCCGACAAAATACTTGCATATATATTACAGAGTGCTCATTATTAGCATTGATATTATATGCATACAAATTTTCTGTCGCAATGAAATGCGCTGGCTAATTTTGGTAAATTTTCTCGATATATTAAAATGTTATTATAAAGAATTATTATTGATACAAGGAAAAAAGTTATCAATATATGACTGACTTGATCCACAGAAACCACATGTGAAACTACATAATACTGTCATTAATGGTTGATAAATAGTATCGTTGCATAGAAATGCATATGCTGCACAATTACTTATTTGGTCTTCGCACGGACCTTGTAATAATTTTATATTATTTTAAATAAAGCAAAATTTATTTTCATATTTGCAAAGTTTTTTAGAAACGTACGTTTTAAAATTAAAATTAAAATTAAATTAGTTTATTTTAAATCAAAGTTTTTGCGATAAAAAAAAAACAAATATTGTTAAAATTGATAGAAAACTCGAGTTTATAATTAAAATTTTATTACTTAAAATGATTAGATTTGCAGTTGCGTACAAATATTTGATGAGGAATGAGTGATTTAATTTGATTTAATGAACAGCTGCTTGAAAAGAAATTTTTTTTACTGTCCTGAGACTAAAACAAATTCCAGTAATGAACTGAATTTCTTGGCGCCATACCAACTGGTGTAATAGTACTCTCAGTGACATCGTCGTCGGCTTTTGGAGTCTTTAGCCATATGCAAATGTTTTTTCTTTCAATAGTATTCACACATTCTGCATCAGTTTGGTTGCATAATCCTTGTTCATCGCACTCTGAAAAAGTCATTTATTTAAATTTTATGAATAAAGAATAAATAATAATAATCAATAAATTAATTAATTAATCAACAATAAATATTTTTAATCTAAGAAATAATAAAATTATTATACAAAATTAATATTTTTCATATGATAAATCACCTCCAACAATTGCATAGCATTGATCATTATAGCATGCATCATTAATCACTGGACACTTTCCATCAACGCATGCTAGTTTAATATAATAAAGTTTTAAAAATTTATATTATTAAAGTCAAATCTGTTTATTATTATTTGCATAAAAAATTTTAATATTTTCACAAAAAGCAATTATTTTGAAGCATTTATTCTATTTACTAGAATGTAAAACTTTCATGATTTAATTGCACACGTGAAAATGTTTCATGAATAAAATTACTGCCACGCAATTCCAGTAATTAATAAAATATTACGTCCTCTTTGAGCAACGGCATTTTGTATAATGCAATATCCAATAAAAATAAACGCTGTTCTCAATTCAGTCTCAGAAATAAACTTAATTTTCATTACTGAAAATTTTCAGAAATACTTTATTATTTTAAAAATAAATCAAATTTTTTACAAAATTTTTAGCACATTATTGTAACAATGTTTAAGGTAAAGTAATAACTTTTTATTTATTTTGCATAAAATTTTTGAAATTCAATTTTTTTCTTGTAGTCAATTTCTGCGTTAATCAATTCCAAAGTTGAGAAGTCAAAATAAAAATGATAATTTTTTCAGTGAAAAATAATAATTGAGCTGGAAACAATATGCATATCATTTAATAATTTCTACGGCAACAAGCCAGAAAGTGAATGATATTTAAATGATAGCTAATTTTGCATAGAGTTAAGTGATAATATTTATTCTTTCAAAAATTGAACTGATAACTGAGCAATCAAATTTAAAGGATAGTAAAATAAATATTATACTGTATTTAATCCATCAAAAGTTTGCTTTATTTGACTAACATTCGTTTGTCCATAGCGTTCAATCACTGATAGCAATATTTAATCGGACATTCAAAAGAAATCACTGATTAAATAATATTTGTTAACAGCTAACAGCATATTTAATAATTTTATGATTACAAAGACGAGAAACAAGCTAAAAAATGAATGCAATGATAGATTGATAAGCTAACTGCAAAAGCTATTATTCACTAAAAATGGATAGTTAGAATCAGTGTCAAAGAGATTGATTAAATTCAATAATTTGCAATATTATTTATTAATATATACAAATAATAAATAATAGTATCTCTTTTTTCAATAATAAATAAAATAAATAATATTTTATTTATAGTAATAAATAAATAAAACAATTTTTGTAATTAAAAATTAAATAGATATTATTTTGTTATAATTTCGTTAGAGTTTTCAGTAATAAATAATAAATTGAAATAAGGAAATGAGAAGAATTTTTGTAGAGCTCAAAATAAAATTAGAATTTAAAATACTTACTCAGAATTGTTTTCATTAGTTAATTGCTAAGTTTGGGGAATTAATTAGATTTGCAAGGGAATTCAATTAAATTTTATGTAGATTTGAGAAAAAAGTTTTTGTGTTTTTAGAAAAATGCTATTACATTAAACTCATTTGACAATTAATAAAAATTATTCAAAATTTAGTAATAATCGATGAAAAATTTGAATTCTAAAATATGCAAAAGCAACTTTTGAATTTTTTAAAAATTCTAATGAAAAAGCAATTTATGATTATTGTTACTTTTTTTAAGATTTGAAGGTGGTTGTTACTCTCATTAAGAAAATGATAAGGTATTTATATTTATATTTTATGCTATTTTTTTAAACAAAATTGTATACATTTAATTTTGTAATCAATTCAATTGTTTTTATAACCTTTCTTATGACAGATGCAACCAAATATGAGATATTAATTAATGATTATGGAAACAAATGTAGTTATACTATATGTATTAAATTAAAAATTATACAGTTTTATGTTATTAAACTGAATACTAAAATTTACAGTAAGCATCATTTTATAGTACTAATATGATGCATAAATAAATACATTATGTGAAAAAATTTAGTAATAAAGTGCCAACATGACAATAATTATTGTCTCATTTCAACTTTCAAATTGAAAGAATGAAAATTTTGATCTCATCGAGAACGAATTTAGTAGCTAATTTCCTCTACTCGTCAATAAAATTATATTTGTAAAATGTTTGCAAAACCAGTTAAAAAGGATAGTATATCTATCTATCTATCATATTAATTATTTCATATTTAGTAATAAATTATGCTTTTTTTTGCCGCCTAAGAAATATCCGGGAATTCTGACATGTTGAGTATTATATTACCATTTTCCACTGATAATAACGAGAGGAATTGTCTATGCAAAATTTGTTTTCATATTAAATATAATCAAAACATAGTTTCCTGTATATCAAATTTTTTCATGTTCTACCATGGCGATAATAGTTAATGTTTGCAGAATTGTAGAAAGAAACATTTATTTTTGTTTAAAAATGAAAAATTAAATAATAAAATTTGCAGAATTCTCATATTATATACGTTAATAATTCTATTAGCAGTCACTAAACAATCATTTGCAATGGTTAGATTTTAATGGGTAATTTTCATACTAACAAAACTTAATCATTAATTATTATTGGCTCATTTCAGTGATTTTCTTAATTAAAACAATTATCAGTGATTAGATCGATTTTGCTTTTTACTAGATCATAAAGCGATATTTGCGCATTTTGAAATAAAATTTCATACATGAATATTTTCTGACTTGTTTTGTTCATCATTAATAATCTTTCTTTCAGTCTTTTTAATATTTAAACATTTTTTCAGTTTAATTATTACAAGCAGTTATCCGAAAAACAAGCTGAGTTACTTCATTTTAATTCGAATATGCTATATAATCTTGAGATTAAAATTGGATATCCACCTGACACTAAGCACTGCAATGGGTACATATTCAAATTTGATGCTCCTCACACTTTTGCTTTACAAAGATATTCAATATGCAATTTTAATACAAATATATTTTATACAAAAAACTATGATTATTTCTGTTTTTATTATTTTTGTTGACAGTACACTAAGCAAGATATGAAATTAATATTTAAGGCAAAAAAACTTGATGAAAATATGACAAAATAAGATTACCTTTCTAATAACTTGTAATATATTAATACTGAAACTTCTTATTTATTGTAAACTAATAATTCAATTTATACAGACCACAAATTACGATTTTCGACAATCAGTGGAGATATGCATGTAAATTTCAGCTTGATAAAAAGAAACAAATATGGAAGGCAGAGTCATACATTCAAAGTTTGCTTTAATTAGTGACAATAAATAAAATTAAATATAGTTCAGTGTGAAAAAGTCAGAATAGTTTTCTTAACTTTGTTTCAAAGCAATAATTTGTTATATTGGAAACAGATGGAGAAAAAAGTTGCTCCAATAATAAACGATTTAATAATAATAATGGATACATTAGCGTAAATCTAGAGAACTTTACATACCATTCGTCCAACATTTTTTGAAAATATTAAAATTTCAATATTTTTTCATCTTAATTTTTGCTGTATGTAAATTTTTTTCTGTTCAAGACCATGAAAATTAACGAAAAATAATATGTCTTAAGTTCTGCTTTTATATAATTCACTTCTCAATATACTTCAGGTCAAACTCAATACCTGTCAAATGAGCAATATTATCTACATCGATTTATTTGGCTATTTAGTATTAATCATTGGAGAATTAAAGTAAAATGGAATGGTGGAAAAGCAACATTTTTTCATAATTATGGTAAATTTGGACACGAAATTTGTGCAAATCCTTCTAGTTTATTCACTTAATGCAGAAATTTGCACAAATTATTACTGCAGTAATAGCTACAAGAATTTAGTCTTTCATTTATCTAAAAAACTAACTTAATTTCATTTTCAATACATCACTGCACAGATGTTAACTTTCATATGTTGCTTAGCTTACTCATTTAGCTTACTGCTTAATTAATAACTAACTCTTGTGAAGGAATTCTTTAAGTACTTTCAATAGTACACTCCTAAGTAATACTCATATCATGCTCTATTTTATTTGAAATTCTGTAATTATTTTTATAGCTGGAAAGAAGCTTGCAATTCTGATAGTTCAGGAAAGCTGTGAACTTGAACGCGTATTAGTTGCAGAATATTTAATCAGTTTGCTTTTTTATTTATTTTTTGATAATCATTTCTCTGCAGGTTAAAAAGCGATAATGAATGAGTGCTGTGCAAAATCAGTTTTAATCACAAAAAAGTTTTGTCTTAACAGCGTTTTTTGAGGACAGCCTGATAAAAATGAACTCCAACATGCAGCAAACGCTGAGGAATCGATGACTACAATAAATAAACTTAACAACATGACAGACCTTGTTAACCAAATAAATACAACATATTGTAAGGATTTTTGAAAATTTACTGCTAAAAAAACTTATTAATAATTTTGCTTTGACTTTGTGCAAAGCTTCACTCTTTCACTATCACACCATATTACTTTTGCAATATATAAGTTCTCACATGAACGTGAACACTTTTCAAAAAATGAGTTTTCAAAAAGAAATTCTCAAAGCCAAAACAATTTCTAAAAATTATTAGCTTTCTTATTCATGAGCTGATAATACTTACTAATAGTACGTTGTTTTCAGTCTTCTATTTAGATCATCATGAAGCAGAGTTATCGAGCATTTTTGGCACAGTATGTTGAGTTCAGCTTTGCAGTGATTAATTCAAATTTGAATCTTTTTATATAAGCCAGGATACACTGTTAATTATGAAATGCATTACTTCATATTTGCTGTCAATAACAAACTGATCTAAATAAACAGATTAAATCCCATCAACATTATTATCATGCGGTTCAAAAGTTTTCAGATTTATGCAATACTCGTACCAGGAGCTGTTCTCGCCATAGTAATCAGTACTGTAATGATGACAGTTGAGATTAGAATATATGCATTATATCAAACGGCGAAAAGTAGGCCTATTCAACTTGTCATAACTCGAGACTTCATGAAAGACATCCATATACAGCGAGAAAGACAAAAAGGTTGAGTTTACTTTTGCATCTAAAAGTTAATAGACAAAAAATTACATAAAGAATATTTTTATTACTGTCAAAATATATTATTTAACTACACTGAAATACAAATTCAAAATAACAGCAGTCATCGGATGATAAATATTTTTTAATATCTTCCTGACATGATTGATTAGCACAGTATCCAATTATTTACGAACACAATATATAAATATATTTTAATGTATGAATGTATGGTTACTAAAAATCGATGTATGGATATATGCTGAAATATAGGAAAGTAATATTTTTTTGAAGACTCCTCTTATCCCTATTCTAAACGGTAGAAGTTTAAATTCAGGAAAAGTTTAAGTTTATAACGCTTAGATTATTTTTTCAGCTCAAAAAAGGTTCAAAGTTTGAGTACAAGTTGATTACAAAGAGAAACAAACAAGGAGATCGCAACAAATCATGATCTTATTAACTACAAATATTAAGATAATGTTGTTGTTAATATTGTTATAAACATTTACAAATCAAATTTTTTAACACAAAAAAAAGTTTTCGTGTTATTACCAGACAAACAGCCGTTTGAACTACTTTTAAGATATCAAATTTTCTGAAAAATCACAATACTGGTTATGAGAGGTGATAAAACTGTTAAGGACCTCGCAAACACAGGACAATGATAAAGTATTTGAGATCAGCGAGTGAACAGTTCAACACATTTGAAAATAAAGTCAAACTACATTATTTACAATTAGAACTCAGCGAAATGTCTTCAAGTATGCACCAAATTTATACGCGATCAGACATGCACAAAACGATCAAAACACAATAATTCAGAAGTTATCATAAAGTGCTTAAATAAAACAATGGAAATGTCTGAATTCAGATCAAATTAATGAAGGTAAGAGCAAGCACTTACATAGAAATATGTATAATAACATTGTAAAGTTCATGAATCTCAAGAATTTACAAGCCACAACCTGTAATCTATGGCTGGTGTAGTGAAATTGGTTGGAAAATTGCGATTGAAAACACCATGTTGAGTCAGCTTTTAACGCTTTCGCTGTTAGATCCTGTCGCGCGGAATGTTCATTTTTAATTAAATCAGTTTGTGATGTCGTAATTAAGACGTACCTTTTTTAAAGTAAAAATCTTTGTAGTGGCATCATTTCGTAACTTGAAAATTTTACTTCCATTTCAGGTGATGAAGGTGCATTTTACTGGTAATATAAGGATAATTTCGTACTGATTTCGTATTAATCAATAGATTAATAAGTAATCTTCAAAAAACGTGCTTTTCATGTTGGTAGTTTTCTTCGCTTACGTGATCAGCACTGCACCAAATTTTATGTGCTCATTTACGCTTCAGCTTTAGAAATTCAATCATTCTTTCTGTAAGAAAATTGTAAATTAATGGCATGTTTAAAAAATTAAAATTTGTTGTGTAATTCATTAATTATTGCATCATCTGGTTGCAAATTCCTCGATTATAATATTTCAAGTAAAATTTGTACTCATAATATTTTGACTTGTTTTTTTAGGCTAACTAACATAGTTCAAGTTTTATAACTTATGTAGAATTAATGTGGAGAAGTATATTTGATTAAAATACAGATTCAATCAAGTTCAAAACTACGAATATTTTTATCAGAGGTTGTGGAATTTCCTTATCGGATGGATACCTTTACACGACAACTAAAAGAAGAGTATGAAAAACGTCTTCATGGTAAGACTTTTATCAGAAAAGTTTAGATTCACTCGAGTGTTATCTCATGTTTGGATTACGTCTATTAAATAATCTTTAAATACAGTCTAAAAATACTTTTCTGACTGTGACAAAAATATCTTATGAAAAGACGTGGTATGTATGTCTATTCAACTTTATATGCCTATTTTTTGTTGTGACAGTATATTTGTATTGCAAAGGCTAACAAATTCAAGATTTGTTTTAGTAAATACAGTTAACTCAAATTTTCTAAATTTTGTAGACGCCTATAGTATTTTTCAAAATTTTTTTAAATTTAGCTTCTGTTGAGCAAAAATTAAATATAATGTATATTAAATCAGCAAAAAGCATTTATAATCTGTGGAAAATTTTTATCTCAAGAATTGAGAAGATCGCTACATGGTGAAAAAGAAAGATATCGACAACTTGGTTTTCAATACAAGCAAGTTGTAACACAGCTGAAAAAAGTTCAGAGAGACAACAGAGGTATGGAAAATCAACTGAAAGCTTTGAGAAAGTGTGCATCGTGCTCTCATCTTGGTAATTTACAGTTTTTTTTAAAACATTATTTAAAGAAGAAGGTTTAACAAGTATTTAATTAAATTTTATGCTAGGTTGTGAAAACAGTACATAAATGCATTTTTATATAAAATTTAATCAAAATCAAGCTATTACAAAAGCTATGGTAATAAAGTCATATTTGAATTTAAATAATTTTATGTTGGAAAAAGACTTATATTTGTGGTTTATCTTTTTTATAAAAATTAAATTCTTGTTATTTCAGATCAACGAAGCAAAAGTTACAATGCTTTGAATGAACTTTTACGAGGATCTGCAGCTGCTTTGCAACCAGAAGACATAGTATCTGGTGGCTCCTTCAATAGAGATAATGAATTAAAAGCTGCAAAATTGGCGAATAGTAATCTTCAACAATGTGTAGATAAATTGCAAAGTGCAGTAAGTAAAATTTTCAACTAATTTTTTGAACATCATATATCGATATGAATCTGTGTGAAAGATTTTCTTCTCAATATTTGTCATAAATTTTAACCTGTTTCTTATTAAGCTGAGAGAAAAAAGTCGTGAAGTTGCTCTCAAAGAAAAATATTACAATGAAGCAATTTTGGAACGTGAAGCACAAATAACTCAACTTCAAAACGAGGTTTTTTCTATAACTGTTTTTGTTTTTACTCGCTGTTGCCATTAAATTTGAGATTATTATTAGAATCAGTATACTCTGACATTCTTAGTAATAAACAGTTCTAAATTGAATTTATTCATGTGATTTTAGTATTTTTGAAATGGCTTTTGGACATTGTTGGTTAACTTATGTAAATCACAAGTACTTCCATTCGGTTCAACATAATTTGACCTTTTATTCAGTACCATGAATGGATAGATCTGATTTTTCTTTATAAGCTACTTTTAATTTAGTTTGTCCATTGTATTAGTAATGTGTGTATTTATTATAAATATTAAAATCAAAAGTATACTTGTTTAAATACCCCTATATAATCATTCGTTTTTAAATAAAAGGGAAAAAACATGGTTACAGCTCTCAGCGCAGCAGACAAAAGGTCATACTTCACAATCTATGGTAAGTCCTGTCATTTCTTTTCAAATCAAAGAATTTCAGTATAGGATTGCATGATAATTTCTGCGATTGATTAAAAGTTTGGATCAAGTTATATAAGCTCCATAGATAACAGCATAAACATTTACTAGCTTTCATTTCTCTCTAATAAAAAGAGCTTTGAAATATTGACAACCTTGTGGTTTTATTTTGTCCTAATCCAGAACATTTATTCGCTCTACTGTCTAAATATGTAGCACCCAAATAAAGTACTTGAGATTAAAGAAGTTTAGTTTATAAAGTAGCTCAATTTATATTCCGATTTTTTCTTATTTTAGGCTCAACAACATGCACAAATGAAACTAGATATGTTACTTAAGGTTGGTTCATTATAATTTTACGTCTTTTTTTTGTTTTTATGGTTTGTTCTTATCTTTACAGATAAAAGATTGTAATAAAAAATTTTCATAAATTTCTTCATCAGGAAAGGAACGAACTGTTAGATCGAATAACCCGCTTGGAAGAAGCGAATCAAAATATTATGCATAATGATTTTCAAAAGTACGTCTATTCTGTATTTGATGCAAATTAACTGATCTATTCATCAGTTACGATAAGAGAAAAAAGGATTGCTTTATGCATGTGGAAGAATCAGTCAGTAAGTAATGTAACTGCATTGTGATCAGAAAGAAGAATAAGAAAATTGTTGAAGCAAAAAAGGTTAATTTTGCTTAGTTATTACTTTTTATAGCGAACAGCATGAAGAAAGAAATTTAATACCATCTGAAAAAGATGGTAAGGAGTACTGTGAGTACTGTCGAAATCGAAAGCAAAGTTGGAATAGAATGTTAGTATTTATCCGTTTAAACTACAAGCAGTAAATCTTTTAATTATTTGTAGATTTGAATGTACGAAACTGAGCATTAAAATTGTTAATATTTTCTCATTTTTCGTTTTGTAGATATTAACAAATTACCATTATACTTGTGGTCTAAAAATTAAATGATTTATGTGCACTTTTTCAGGCTTAATGCAGAGCAAAGTTTAAATTATTATTTGGAAAAAGATAAGGATAATATAGGTTGTTCTCCTCAAGAAATTGTTTTAAGGGACAGAATTCAGGTATTATTTTATTCAGTTTATGATTGAAAGTGCAGATCAAATAGATATGTTACGAGGTTGATTTTTTTTTGTTGTGAACTGTTTTACCATTTTCATATCAAAATCTGAAGTTAAAGTTTTTAATGAAAATGTTTTTCAATCAAATACATTTTTTTAGGTTGTCCTTAGTACATTTTTCACTTGTCGATATGTTCCATTTTGTTTTGATTTATTTCTTCATGATAGAGATGGAAATTCCTCGATCGTTTCAGGAGCTTTCTTATTCTTTGAAAATGGAAAGAGAGCGGAATAAAGAAATGGAGAATACGCTAAAAGCTGAAAATAATAAGGTAAGATCTTTCTCCACTCTCTTCATAAAATTTCGATTTCTCATTTACTTCTTGATGTAGATCGCCATATTTATCTCCAATAAAATTTTGTTTTCAGTTGCGAAATGACTATCAGAAGTTATATGGACAGTATGAGTCTTTGACATTAGAATTGAGCAAAAGGTAAAGTACTGGATGAAGTGCCACAAGAAAAATGGGTGTTTGCAACTGAATGAATTAAAAAAATATACGCTTCAGAAAAACCTGAAAGTACTTCGTTTATCGTAAAAAATACTTTCCGAAATAAGTTCACTTTTCTTTCAAATTTTAGAGAATCAGCACGCGTGTTGGAAAGTAATGTGGTACACTTTGAGAGACAGTTAAAGAATTTGACCAAACAAAACGAAATATCGCTACAAAAATGTGCTGACTTGGAACGTGCAAAAAATTTGATTTTGCAAGAAAAGTTAGAGCAGTTAAAAATCAACGAAGTTTCTTTTGAAATTTTTCTTCAAGTTTTAATATTCATAAATTTATTGTTTACTGAAACTTGTTGATGACATCCATAAAATTTCAACGTTTTTTAATCGCTGACTTTTTTAAAATGAAGATATTGCGTAAAAGACTGACTCGTTTGGAAGAAGATCAGAAGGAAAAAAACAAAAACTATGATATGCAAATTGAAGTGTATCAAGAGCTAATAAAACAAAAGGTTCAGTTTCAATTATTTTTCAGAATATGTCGCACTTCATGGTGAAATAATGCATTGACTAATCATTTTATATTAAGTTTTCCTTCTAAATGTAAATTTTTTTCACTTTTCTGTGCATTTTCTATAGGATCAAGAGCGTGGAGCACTTATTGCTGAACTGTATGCTGCGGCTCATCCAAAAACTATTCATAATTCGTTAAAAGAATTAGGAGATGATAATGGTATGTATATATCTAAACATTTTTTATTACCTTTCAGGCATACTCTCCTGTATTTTTTCAGATGCGTAGTAGTATATTTTTTGTTAATATTTAACATTTATTCTGATATTTTTTGCTCTATAGATTATAGTATTGTATGTTTTATGCACCTCGATATTTCTTCGATTAGAAATTTTCAGTATAACATTTTTCAATTCTGAGGTTTGTTTCTTCAAAATTGTTCAATCTTTATATTTTGAGTTAATAAGTGTTATTCATCATTAATGTAACCTGCAAAGTGGATGGTATTTTGTTTATAAGATCATCATGAAGCGATGTCAAGCACTTATGCAGAATAAAGGTTATATTTATTCTATACGAGTGCTTGATCGATTATCTCTCTTTATCACACTATGATTATATTATAAGTATCTATTTGGTTTTCTGCAATGTGTGAACCATTTAAATTTTTGTGCTTTAGCGTTTCATTTGTGTAAATTTTTATTTCAGCAAATGCGATGGAACATCGTAAATTGTTGAAACAGCTGCAGGAGATCAATTTTGAAAAAGATAAGGTTATTGTTTTGCGTAGCGCTGTTATTTGAGAAATTTTGGGATTCTATAAGGCACAGTTACGAACTCTACTGATTAAAAAATCTTTAGCGTATATTGTATCATATTTATTTCTAATATCGAAATTTTAGATGGCTAATAAAATTACTAATTTGGAATTAGAGTGTCAGTCCAAAGCAGATCAGTTACGAGCCAAATCAAAAGAGGTTGAAACTGAGATTGTTTTGAAAAAATCGCTTCATGATGATCTTTCCAAAGCGCGAACTATGGTAAATTTTTGGTTTTGCGGTTTTTTGGTGATTGATTTCGTAAAGTCTTTACTTGAACCGTTAATGTTTTGCACTTTATGTTACATTTAGAAATTCACTCTTTTCTTACTGTAATCAATTTCCATTTTAATTTTGTGCTCTCTCTTTTCATAGTGTAAGTTACGTATTAAGCGTTCTGCATAAATATAAGAACAAAGAACTTGCTCTCTGTTTTGTTATATTTGTTTATTGAGATAAAATTTTAAGTTATAAAACTTTTTCAGTTGTTAGATAAGGAATCAGAAATACACGACTTGAATAATGGATTGAAAATTGCTGAGGTGAAAATGATGAAGGTTTGAATTTCTTGAATATTCCTACTCGTATAAAACTCCTCATTTCTCCGTATCTTTGATCAAATTTAGAGAATGAATTTTCATCAGGCACTATAAATTTAAACTAGGACTTTAAGCTAGACTCGTAAATGCATAGCTGTTCTGAGTAATATGTAATAGGAAATCATTAATAAAGTATATGCGAAAAAGCATCTAATTTTATATATCTTCATGAAGAGAACTCTTCGTAATTATTAGAATGCTTTATTTGATACTATATTTCAAAACTGTTGTTGTTTTGTGTTTTAGGTCCTTAAAAATTCTTAGTCTGGATTTTCGAAGAAATTGATCAGAAAGAAGAAATTATATTAGTTAATTTGTTCTCTAATTTTGGACAGTTTTTTTCCATGAATCTTAAATAATTATTCAAAACGTTGAATGATATCTCAATGTGTTTAATTACAGAAGCATGATTTCAGCTTGAAACAGAGCTTGCGAATGCAATAGATCGTTTACAAGTCGAACGAACTATTGGTACTTCATTAAGGGCAACTTTAGAAGAACTAGAAAATCTGTTGCGAGAAAAAAATGCAGCGCTTTTCGCTGCATCACAGGACCGACAACACTGCACATCGGAAATTCAGAAAATGAAAGAATTAAAATATGACATGCAAACCAAACTGTAAGATTTTAAGGAATAAGGTTTCACAGTCCTTGTTTTTATTCGTTTGATTACGTAAATTAATGAATACAAAAGTATATGGACTAAAATGGTAGTAAAATCAGTATTTTCATAATCATTCGTATTAGTAATGAATGACTTTGAAATGGAAAACCAAAGTTGCGAGAAAGCATGAAGTGCCGAATTTAATAATTGTGAAATTGGATTTTTAATTTAGAATTGTTTCGCATTTCTAAATTTTGAACAAAACTAGTGCTGAAGTTCATTAGTCAGTAGCTCAAATATTCCTAGTATTTCAACATTGTGTGAGATTTTCTCATTTATCGTTGAATGCATAGAACTTTTCAACATTTTGTAAAACCATTAACTTTTTAAAGTTTTTTTTCGACCATTCAATTATTTGATATATTTCTCATGTATGCAAAAGTTGGGTGGGATACCTTTTTTTGTAATAAATAGAAAGTAATATTAAATTTTTGGAGGTAAAGACCTAAAAGAGACCAAGAATCGTATGAAGAAGATGGATCGCATACCTGCTCTGAAGCGTTACTGTCATGGAATTTTAAGAATGTTGGCAGAGCGTGTGAGGGTTTGCTAAAATAAAATTAGAAGTTATGAGTCATGGTGCATTTAATATTTAAAACGCCAGATTTGAGTTGTTCAGAAGACAATTTCATAGGAAAGTAACTGGGGAATAGCTTTGTAGGGAGAGCAGAAATCAGGGAGTTAGGGTCACGATGTGGGATTCGGAAATGGAAGATGATAACAACGAATATCTGAGAAAGTGTTGGCACAACGAACATCTGAAAAAATGTGCAGATTATGAAGTGCATGATACTTTCCCTTCTGAAACTGAATTTAGAAAGAGAGTTTCCTACCATTGAAAGGCGGTACGCCCTAGTGGAGTTTATAGCTTCTTTATTAAGTAGTGTACCTCCTTGCATTCAGATTTGTACGAAATATTAATTCGGTTTTGCCTGGATAGGGAAAAGCAGGACTTCTGGTTTTACAAAGGAATTGCCAACCTAATTCCAAACAGTGTTCCAAAGTAAAGACAACGACTTCAGTCCAATAATACTATATCGAACCTTTACAATTTGACAGCAAAATGTATGGCATGTGTCATGCAATTGGATTGCCACGAGGATACTATTTGCTCGGGGTCAAAGATGAAATGCAGGACGTAAATAATTTCGCAAGCGATGATTCGGAATGGGATGGTAACGAAATTCTATTAATGGTATAGGAAATTAATGTATCTGTTCACGTCGAAGCATATATGTCGTCGATAGTGCTGAAGAAGACGCTCGAAAGCGTTCAATCATTCTAAGAAGATAAAGCAACGAAAATCATCACATCAAAAATTTGAGCGCCAGATAAGAACAGCCAAAGTGACAGAATACGACCCAGTGCCAAAATGCAGAAAAAAAAGACTAACCTTCATATGATGTTGATTTTGTCTGATATATACATATGTATTTTTTGAGATATGCATGAATTTAAGTGTAAATATAATTTTCCAGCACCGTGCAAGGACGTGAATTAAAAGATATGCGTGAGAAACTAGCTTTTCTTAAGAAGAAAATTCGAGAACTCGAGTTAGAAGGAAATTCAGCAGACAAGTAAAGTAATCGTTCTACATTTGATAGAAGCATGAAAGAGTTTTAGTTTCTTTGCTTGAAATAATGAATGATGAAATGATTTGAATATGTAATGAGTGCTTCTGAAAAATAAAAACTGCTCTGTGCTGTCTTTTTTTCTTATCAGTTCATGAGGTACCTCGAAATATGAGCTTACCAATAGTTGTGCAGTCTGCTTTTTTTCAGAAACCCGTCGTGTTAGCACGCACAAACGATAGATATATAGGTAGACAGATATACCCTGACAATGCATTACTGAAGAATAATAATGCCTGCTTCTTGGCCGTCATCTAATATAGCAGTCATGTTCTTCTTATGCTAGCTTCTCATACGCTCCGTCGTCCTCACAGTTAAACGGCGGCACACGTTGATTTACTGTCCTATTTTGCTCTTTCTCATCAACTGCTCGTGTAGAGCGAATTTTATTTTCTACTCATTGATCCTCGAATGTATGTTTGTTTAACTCTGAAAATTTCTATCCGTAACTTTTTCAAATACACACAAGGACACACATATACGGAACATTGTTGCAGACATTTTCAATGCATAATTGGTATTGCATTCATCTTTACATTTATTTCTGTCATTTTCATGTTTGCTAATTGCTAATTGGTTCATTTTGAGATTACATAATGTCATTAATATGATTAGCACTGAATATGCTACTTCTGTATCCATAGTTGTAATTACATGACAAGTGGAATATTTATATAAGCTCAGCACAAATTGCCACATTATCATATCTTGGCTATGTTTGTTCGCATATATAGTGGTATTGTTTTGTACAGTGATCGTTTAGTAAATGATATAAACAACTTCTCATTACTACTCACTTCTGTGAAGTAAACGACGATAGTGATGAGAACTGCGGTGAATATCTCATGTAAAGTATTATCCATTCGGGCTACGTTGGCATGTGTGTCGCTCTTTTACTCTACACAGCTGCAGTAGGTGGAGTTTACTCTTCTTCTCTATAGCTCTTCCACCTTGTTCTCTTTTCTCGCTCGTAGTGTCCGCGTCTGATGTCTTTGTCATTCTGTTCTTTTTGACATTCTCTATCTCTTTTCGTTAATTATTATCACACATGTCCATGATGTCTATCAATCAATATCTCTCATTCGCGCAACGTTCACACAGGAATGGGTTATTCATGAATGCAGGGGATATGAAAATGTATTTATGGTGCATTACGCGCGTGTATATGGGTGTAAGCGTGTAGTATATATGTGTATTTTGTTTGCGTTCATGAGTATTTATGTTTTATCCTAATCTATAAAAATATTTGATGGTAATAGGTTTGAAATATTTCATGTTATCTTTTATTGTATTTACGTATTTATCTGAGTAACTGTTATATTCAGCTTAGATATAAAAGATATAAGGTGGTGTGAAGAAAAAAATTTGATGTGCTCCAAGATAAATTATTATTCCAGTTTTGAGGAAATATTATCAGAAACTTAGATTCATTTAGAAGCTTCTGTAGTCTATGTAACTTGCTAAAATTATTCATGCAACTGTCATCGATAGATCAGTTCTGCTTTTGCGTACTTTTTTCCATTATTAGATTAGTCGATATGTTGACGATAGCATCGTGTATTAATTCATATAGTTTCTCAGACAATGCATTAAATGGTTCTCAAATTTTTTTAATCGTAAAATCAGAGAAGCAGAAAATATGTTTCAAGCTTAGACAAGTTTAGTTATGGAAATTTGTCTTTCAAAAAAAAAATAGTCGAATGAGAATAAGTCTGTAAACATAGTTAAGTCTGTTCATCGATAGAATCTCTTTCTATGTTAGTAGGCAAAAGGGAGAGCAGAATAGAAATAAAGTCTCCTCTGAGTTCAAAAGTAGTTCAGAATCAATTCAATGAGAAGGAAAGAAATTAAATTCAGATTTCTTCGTACTGCTGGAAAGTGCTTTATTGCTATACCTCTAATGTTATTAGCGGTAACAATACTGATGTCATAAATTTGGTCTAATTTTCAGTATTTTTGCGTTCCACATCTTTGTGATTCTAATTCGTCTTTAAGAAACATCTAAAAAAAACCAAAAAAAAAAAGGATGGATCCAAACAAGCAGCAATATTTCGTTCATCCTGGGGCTTATGATCCAGCAAATCTGGCTGGTGCTAAGGTTAATTTTTCTTTATTTCTATAAAAACATGTTCTTAAGGAGCCTTAACTTTCTGTTTATCCAAATTAAAGGTCTGCTGAAAAGTTTTATATTATCTGGGTTTTCATGCAAAGTTAGAAAGCTATTACCATTAAGTGTGTATAAGTAAAAATAGTCATATACAATCAAAGCTTTGTTTTTAGTGCAACTAAATAAGTACTGTCCTTCCATGCTTTAAGATTTGTTCATTTAAGCATGAAGTTTGAACTGCAAAGATGACTGTTAACATCGTAGAGCTTAAGTTTTATGACCCGTTGGGGTAGCAGGTTTCAAGCATGGTGATAGAACTGATTCGATCTAAAAGTGTTTTGTATTTTATCTATTTCAAGCTTCAAGATTATGATTGTCAACAGTTCTGATGATTTCGGAAAACATGTCATATGAAAAACTTGCATCGTAACAGATTTTAATTGTTGATCAACCTCCATCATTGAACTGTTCCCACCTTGATTGAAAAACCTATACGAAGTTCAGGCGTTTTCATTAGTACCCTTAGTTATTAACTTTATATTATGTGAAGCGTTTATGCAGTTTTGTTCTAAAGTTATAAATAGGTTGGACAAGCAGATCACTGTGGATTCACATCTTTTCTAGCATCTAGACAATGAAGTTATGAATAGTTTGGAAAGCAGTGATGATCTGTTTTTTAAAAGTGCATCAAAAAAACATTTTATTTTAGTTGCAGGTTATACCAGGATCACCTTTAGCGGTTGTAGCAGCAGTACAAAAAGTACAACCCCAACATATGACTGGGACAATTGTCGCAGCAAATACTCCTGTTGCCGTTAATCTTGATATTCAAGGTAATTAAAATTATTTTGTTTCAAAGTAAGGCTTAATTATATTAGTTTGTAATGGTAACATACAGTTACGCTGTTTTGTCATTCTTAATTAATATATAGTGAAAATAAAGTAAAGGAAGTTTATGCGATATGATATGGTATTGATAGTTATAATAGTAATGCAAAGCGTAGAAGTATGATAAGAGTGTAAATGCAGTTTGTTGTATTCGTTTTCAATCGATATTTGATGACTTTACGAAGCTTATTATTGTTATTATTTTCTTCCATTTACATTTAAAAATTATATTTTGTAGCTCTCACTGATATGGCTCATCGAGAATACCAAGCAGGTGATTATGCGAATGCGGAAGAACATTGTGTGACAATTTGGCGTGCTGATCCGAACAATGTCAGCGTCCTTCTCCTTCTTTCCTCAATACACTTTCAACTAAAAAATTTAGACATGTGCGTAATGAATTTATAAATATTTTTGTGCCAGTGATGCAAAATGTTTTTATATATGAAATATAATTATAGGAAAGTTAATTTTCATAGCATGTTTAAGGTCAATGCAGTTTTCAACGATGGCAATTAAAGCGAATCCGAAGTGTGCGGAAGCATACAGTAATTTGGGCAACGTCTACAAGGTTTATTTTTGAAATCAGTATTTTTCTATTGCACTGCATTCTTTATAAACTTAACGTAAATCATGCTAACTGGAATAAATTATCCGGTCTTTAGGAACGAAATCAACTAGCGGAAGCGCTCGAAAACTATAAAATAGCTGTATCTTTAAAACCAGATTTCATTGATGGATATATAAATTTAGCAGCGGCACTGGTCGCGACTGGTGATTTAGATCAAGCTGTTAATGCATATGTTTCGGCTCTTCAGTATAATCCTGTGAGTCTGACTCTTTTGCTTATTAATAGATCTAAACTCAACTATTTTTGTTGTTTATATTTTTGCAATCCAGCTCAGTATTCAAAATAGGTGTAGACAAATCTTGTACTATCTTTGAATATACAGGATCTATATTGCGTGCGAAGTGATCTAGGAAACTTGCTAAAGGCGATGGGTCGTCTCGAAGATGCAAAGGTATTAGTTTATTTGAAAATGTTTTCTGGAAAGTAAAGGTACTAATAGTCCTGATCTGCTGAAATGAATTTAATGTTAGAGTATAGAAATGCATTAAGCTAGCAGCCACGCATTACTTTTGACCTGAAGAGTTCCATTATTTTTGTGGGAACTTTTTTTTATTTTTTGATCAACACACTTCCAGTCAGAAGCAGTAGTTAGTTCTTTTCGTTGATTTAATTTTAAAAATGGTATCTATAATTAAAATTTATTTTTACTGTTCTGCTGCTTCCACGGGATCAGGTTGAATAAAGTACGTTGTCATTGAAATAGCATGGAAGTTGCTGGTATTTGACCTTCGGTTGTAATTTACATTAGATTGATTCTACTAATTTGTTTCATATGATGGTCACTGAGCTTTTGGAAACCAGTTTTTTTTTTCTCAGGAATGTTAAGGATGTTTGTATTTTAATGGGACTGCAAATTTTGAATCCAGTTTTTTGTGTGAACAATTGTAACTAAACGTTATTGAAATTGCTTTCCAGAAATTATATGAAATCCTTCACTTGCAGTGACCTTCAACTATGGGTAGATAATAATTTCATTTACAAAATTATGAATTGGTATAACTTACCAGTTCTGGAACCGAGCGATATCAGCAGCTATTATGCTTCCATCTATCCCCACCAATATTTCACACGCGCGCGCAACTAAGAATGTTTCATTGTAAATTTGAAACTGACCGCTTTATATGAATTGAAAGTTTTTAGCTATAAAAAATGGGACTGTCTTTGTTTCAGCATCTGCTCAGGTTTTTCTTGTTTTATTTTGTTTTTAGCGGTCAATTTCAAATCATTAGATTACACTCAACATTGATGTGCTGGCTCGCCTGTCTAAAGAATTGGTGAATTATATAAAAGCTCAAACAGTACTTTTATGTTAAAGAATAAAATTTCGCTAAGAATTATTAGTAAAAAAAGTGTAAGAAAAATATGAAGCTTATGATTCACTTTCTTTCGACATTCTAATCAAGAACGGATTCAGAGATGGTTAGCGAAGTTTTTGTTTAAACTTATGATCTTGTATTGCTTGAGTCGAAGATACTTTTGAGCCGTGGAGTTTAAAAAATATATTGTCATTTTCAAATATGTTCAACTATCTCTGGATCCGTCATAATCTCTGATGTTGGCAGTTTTCAAGAACCATTATTAATTTTAAGATGGCATTTGCTTCAGAAGACTTCCTAGTGTGGGTAAAAATTCATTTGGAAACTGAGTTTTACAATTCTTAGATTTCTGGAATAAAATTTTAGTAGTAATATGTTGATAATGTAATTTGAAAGCTGTCATCAGTGCCCGAACTCGTTGATGAGAACGTACTTTGTTTAACTTACAACTTGCATCACCCCGTTGTGAGGTGTGTTGATAATAACATTCGCAGTTTTGAAAGAAAACAAAATTCTGGGTTGGAAGAAGCTCTTTTTGGTGGGTTTTTGCTATTAATTTATCATAAGCAAGGAGCATTTTGTGGCTCAGATGCAGAAGAATATTTTCAATATTTGAGAGGAAAATTGTTAGATCTATTTATTTTCAACCTAATGACAGAAAGGGTCCATCTGAAAAACCTTTTTGCAAATTTTCAACTTAACTTACTGTCGTGAGAATCCATCCATACACTCTTGTGCTTCCAAACCTAAATATGTGGTTTAAGGAAATGGTGGCTTACCATCAGTTTTTATCACTTCAATAAGCTTTAAAAGGTGAACTGTACCACCCTCTTTTTGATAAATTTGTCCAAACGGTCAAAAACTTTCATCGATGAACCCCTTTCTATCATTTTCAAGCATGATTAGTTTTAAGTATCGAAAAATAAGAGCTGTTTTTTCTGTGAGTTCCATTGGAATTTACGAGACATCGAAAGGTCTTTTTGAATATGAGGAAATTGGAGAAGCAAATGGAATGTACTTTTCAAAAAGCAGATTTGACGAACGGATCATTTTTGATGAAATGTAGGTTTGTGGATTTGGATGCAGCTTTCCGTTATTGTTCACATAGATCGCTCAATCTGTATTGAAAAGCTCGGGAAAGTCTACGTGGAAAAAGAATCAAAATGGCAGATAGAAAGCGTTTGGTATGGTTATATCAGTGTTTTAATCATTGTGATTTGCTTGCTGTGGTTTAATAATTTTTTCTTATTAAAGTAAAGTGTGCTGTAGTTCAAACAAATGTTTTTTCTTCGAAAATAGTCACAGTTTTTTAATATTATTAAATCTTGGGATTTGGTAAGTTCTAAGACGTAAGAACTGACTGGAATTTGTTAATAATAATATTATTATTATTATTACTATTATTACTATTACTATTATTATTATTATTATTATTACTATGAGTAATATCTATATAAGTGTGTTATGTATACTATAATGAACATTTGCGCGGTGTTTCACTCCTATTCTTTTTGTATTGTATTCTTATTAATTCCTCAGTTTGTAACTGCTCGATTTTTTACTTGGGTTTTAGTAAAGGCGCAAACGTTCGCCCCACGGTAAGTTCACATTAGTTTTCTTTATTTTATTGTTTAAATACTAATTTCAAAAATGAAGTATCCAAGTACTTGAATGATAATGAATTCTAATGGAGGTAAGTATTCAATATAAAATATGAAGCAGTTGAATCATAGCTAGCAGGCAAATTATGAAAGCAAAATATATGTTGGTGCATTAAAGAAGGCTCGTCAGATAGGTCTTTTTTGTTTAAAGTTTAAGTTCATGCTTTTTGATCATTATTTCAGCTGAATTAGTGCTTCTTAACTTCTCTCAGTAAAGAGATATGACTTTTAGGGTTGTTATTTGAAAGCAATAGAAACACAGCCGCAGTTCGCAGTTGCGTGGTCCAATTTGGGTTGTGTTTTCAATGCACAAGGGGAAATTTGGCTTGCAATACATCATTTTGAAAAAGCTGTTCAGTTAGATCCAAATTTTCTGGATGCTTATATCAATTTGGGTAATGTACTCAAGGAAGCACGCATCTTTGATAGGTTCGATTTTTCTATGTGAGTTCGAAAATTTGAAAACTTTTCCGGTGAGTAGTAAGCGAGGGAACATGTAAAGGTAATTTCAAGTTTAAAAACTATGAAAAATATGAAAAAAGCACTTTGATGGATTGATAAAGAGTGCAAATTAAGTACATCAACATATCAGATCTTAGTCTGATGGAGATTATAGTGTCTGTCTTTTCATAATATTGAAAAGATCGGAGATAGATGCGCTTGGATGAACAAAGGAGAAGAAAAGAGTTGCAAATTATTGCTGAAGAAGTTGTAAACTCCCAAAGTAAAAAAGTGCTGCTGCATTGATTCACAATCATGAAGGAAGAAATGGAGGATGAAAAGAGGAAAACCGCATCCCGAATCCATAGCTGAAAGTAGATGAGGTTATATAGGACTCCGTGAAGGCTGTAGAATAGTACTTTACCACTGTACTAGAACCAGGAACCAGTTCATTTGTAGAATGGGGTTCTACAGAACAACTGATCAAGCGAAGCACTGAAATTTGTTTTTGGCCGTTTATGAGGATTAAAGAAAATGGCACTTCCCTGTTTGGAGAAAACTTCTTGTGGGCAATTACCCTCCAAGTACTGAATATGCAAGTAGATGCTCTAATCACTAGTAATGATGATCATCCATACTCGCATATGCTTTTCTGAGAAAAGTTAGCGAAACTTATCAAAACACTTGTCACGTACTTCGAGGAAGATACGCTGAAGTCTTTTTGCCAGGGTTATTCATTTCCTCATGATAGAACTTGTTATTCTGAAGGATAATCCATTTTATATTAATAATCGTGATATTGACTATTGGTCAGTGATATCCTGCAGACCTTTATCTTGATTCTTCGCATATTTTTTCGTTTTTCAAAATTTGCAAATCATTATGAGCAAAAGCAGTAAAAATGAAGATGTAGATTGTCATTATTAGTGCTTACTTGTTTTTTAAATTAACAGTATTTCTTCGTTTACAAGAAAATACGGGGTTTATATTTGATTTTATAGAACAAAATATGTATTAATTCTTACAGGTATTCTTTCATGAAACAAATTTTCAGAGCAGTAGCTGCATATTTACGAGCGCTTAATTTGGCAGGAAATCATGCTGTAGTCCATGGGAACTTAGCATGTGTTTATTATGAACAAGGGTAAGTTTATTCATGTCTAATTTGCAGTTTCTGTGTAGTATTCAGAAATCCGACTTGTGAGAGTCTTCAAACATGAAACTGGGAAATGCGCGTGGTTTGAAACCGTTT